CTGCAAGCTCTAAGCTGTTATAGAAGTGAGATCAGATTCAAGATTGCCTACCTGTTCTAAGCGATCATAAAGAGAAGACTTGTGTATTGATTGTCATATTGATTGTCAGAGAGTAAGAGAGTTTTTGATGTAAAACGAGATTCTAGAAAGCTGATTAAAGACTAAAAAAGATAAAAAAGAGAGAAGACTGATCAGATTAGAGGGATCAGAGTATTCTTCAAAGTTTTTAAAAAAGAACTAAAGATGCCATTTTTATGCAATCAGAAAAATGAGATATAGACAAGCACTTATTAAATAGTTAGAATTGAAAAGATTTCTGAAGAACGCTTTTGTAAGACTAAGACAAGAATATTGTCTGGACCTTAAGCCCTAGAAAATTTTAACTAAGAAATGACTTTAGTAAAGGAAACCATAGTCTAACAATGAGATAACCTCATTGTTAGACTATGGACTAAAGTTACCAATAACGAAAATGTTGGCAAATAGGGAAAAGAGAATCGGCATGGTAAATATTTTTAAAAATCACAAAAATTATATAAATTACATAAAATAAAAAAACAAAAAAAAAAATAATAGAGTGAAGAAGTGGGACATAAAAGAATGGTCAGAAGCGAACAAATAGATGAATTGCTGTGTAAGTATACGCATATTTTAAGTATACACAATCATAACATAAGCATGCACAATCTTTAAAAAAAGAAATAAATTAAATAAAAGCTAAAAACTTACTCTGCACAATAAGTTGGCCCTCTTTTTCAGAACTGCCTAGGTAATTTTTGGCAACACATTTGTAAGTTCCTGCAGATTCAAATGTTACTGGTCGTATATTCAAGCTCATTCCACCATCTCTTATCTCATAAGGTTTTGTTTCATTAATAATTTTACCATTCTTAAACCATGTAATTTCAGGTAGAGGTCTGTAAATAAATTTTACTAAATTTAAAAACTATATATTTATGAATATGTAATATACAGCATATACAACTGTATAAGCTAGAACATCATGAACTAATTCACAACATTTAATGAACATAATAAACTTATTATTGTTTGCCTAACCAATCATCACAACCAAAATTAACCAATCATCTTATTCAAAATTAAAATAAACCCCTCGGTTATTTTTCCTTTTTACATTTAAAGTATATCAAGTTTTACATTCTTTAATTTTCATTATGTGTAAACATTATGTCCTTCTGACAATTTTTTTTTTAACAAATTGAGACTAACTTTTTATTTTTTACTTAAACATAGTCTCTTTCAATCCTATATATAGCTTCAAAATATCTTAATATAGTGATGATTGAATTCAATACTTTTTGGTAGAAAAACTATCATTGACCACAACACTACCATGTTTATTTATTTGTTAGAGCACCACCATTGCATTTATTTATATCATTAATTGCTATCACCTCTATTTATATAATTACTGGAAAACTGCCGACTTCTCAGTCTAATTAAAAAACTAAAGTGAATAATTTTTAAAATCTTTAACAAAAAAAATTTTCAACTTATTAAATGATTGCTTTATTAGCAAAAAGTAGAGAGTTTGATTGTCAACATATTCAGGTGTTTTGGAGCCTATTCTATAAGTTTGAAATGTAAAAAATTTTATAAAGCCCTATCTAGAGGCTTAAATTTTATGATAAAAATATTAAGAACAACAATAAAAATAAACTAAAAGCAAGAATTAGCAATCCTACATACCTTCCAGTGGCTCCACAATTAAGTGTGTAAGTTTTTGAATTATTAACGGCATAATTTTGTTTTGCCATAAAAGACTCAAGGTTTGCTGAAAAGTTTTGGTTGTCATCTAGATAAGTTTAAAGAAAATGAATCAAAAAAAGAAAAGTACTGTTATGACAACAAACAAACATTCACCAAATTAGATAAAACCATCACAATCTTTTAAAATTAAAAAAATATATATTGTTTAATATGGCATATAGTATATGGCTAGTAATATTTAACAGGCATTAAAAATAGAGTTTCCAACTTTTGACAAATTTTAGAAAACAAAGATCAATTTAATGTAGAAAAGAATAAAAGTCTGTCCTGCCTCTATTAAAAACATGAGTTCCTTGCTCAATGGCTGACAATTGATGAAATCAATATTGTGAAGTTGAATTTAGGTGAAAAAAACCTTACTATGTTTTTTACTTGTTTTTTTAATTTTATTATTTTCAATCTTTTTAGTTTTAGCAACGCTTTATTTTTATTTTTGCAGTAGTATTTGTTTTTTTTGTTTTTTCATTTATTATTGCAATATGATAAATTTACCGTTTCATTAAAACAGTTTTCACAGTTTTTAATAAACTGAGAATTTAATGACCAAAAATATTCCCAGATATTTTAATTCAGGATCACTTAACTAGATATCTTTGCTTCACTTTACTACACAATAGTCTATGGTTCCACTTCCAAAAATTAATCTTGTGCGTTATGTTATTCAGCGAAAATTCTAGTGTAAATGTTATTTCCTGCAACCTTTTTACTTCAAGTGTTACTTAACTTTAGCTTTTTACTGTAACTGTTACTTTCTGCTTAGAGAATGTTTGTGTATCCATTTTATTTCCTTCAACATCAATGCTTTGGAACTCCTAAATTATGTTCCATCTGCTTACCTTTCTGTTTCATATAACTTAATGCTTTTTAAGCCATCTGTTGACTCTTTTCTTGCTTTATAACTCTGATTTCTTCCAAAGACTAAACATAACTAGTAGATGTCCACAGCCTTATGAGTTAGTGCTATTTTGTTAGGGCTTCAAACAAACTATTTCATGTTGCAGATACATATTCAAGTTCTAGTTAGAGAATCATCACCTATGTCTCCCAAATTGTCCTTTCTGTAAAAGTTTCTTATTATTTATAATGAGATAATGAAGTTATTGGAATGAAATTGAAAAATCATTTAAACTTGATAATCAACCCTGTTTTATACATATCACTCACAGTTGTTTATAAAAATTTATGTTGAAATATTTTTAAATAGATTTTAAAACATGCACTAAAAAAATTTATATCATGATTTTAATATTATTTAAAATACCTTTTTCAATCACATTTATCTTTTGTTTAACACTTTGTATAGAGTGCTGTGATTGGTACAATATACAACTAATTCCTCCAATAATGTTGATATCTTGTACAACTTCTTCTGTTAAGTATGCAAAAACATATTCATGATCTGAAATGAAACCCAAAAAACTTGGTTTTCCATTTGACCATAGGATGGGAGGAGAACTTTCGGGGAGATCACCCCACCAATAAACTTGTCCTATACCAGATTTGTGTGGGGGACATTTGATTTTGAGAGGCTTTCCAATTTGACCACCAATATCAAGGACAGTATCTTCAACTGAAAATCCTTTCTCGAAACTTCCCATGCCTGTAAAGAAATATACATGTCTAAAAAATATGTCATTTTAACTTTAGTTGTATATTTAATACAATTTTCTTATTTTTTTTGCAAAAAAATTTTTTTTATAATCTCCTTAAGAAAAAATCAATAAAGGTGAAGCAAAATATTTAATCAAATCTAATCAAAAAAAAAATTTAAACAAACAAAAAAAAGAAAACAGCATGACAGAAAAGTTATAAAACTCTTTAAAAAAAAAAATTTGCAACCGTATTCATAGCAGCTCTCCATTAAGCTTAACCTATTCTCTCTGTTAAGCTTAACAGAGCTTTTATCTGAAATTTTATTACAATATTTTTAAGTAAAGAAATGATGAAAACCTTATTTAAATTTGTTTAAGTAAAACTAATACAGGGTTCCCAGCCAACATTTATGAAATTTGCATGCCTTTGCATGCTACTTTTTATTAAAATAGCATGCTTTTGCATGGTATTTCTCAATTGTGTTGCATACTTTTGCATGCTTCTTTTTTAAAATGTGCATTCTTTTGCATGGTATTTCTCAATTGTGTTGCATACTTTTGCATGCTTCTTTTAAAAAATGTGCATGCTTTTGCATGCTTTTGATTTTATAAACAGCATTATAAGATTATATAAATTTATAAAAGCATATATACTTTTTTAAATAATATTAAATATTATGGTAAACTTAAAATTGGTGACTGTAGCATCAATTTTCACATTATTTTTGAGAATTAAAGCATTATTAACAAAATATTATGTTAAAATATAAATATGTTGCTAAAAAATATGGCACATTTTTATTATTTTTAAAATACCATAGAAAACATGTTTTTCATTACATTAGAAGTTCAAATTCTACTGGAAATCAAAAAAAACACAGAAAAGAAAAAAGATAAGACTAAAAACAAATGCACTAAGTACATTATTATTATTAGTATATATCATAGTATATTAAAATACATTTTAAAACTATATTTCAAAACGTATAAAGTTTGATATTTTACTTAATAAAAAATAACATAAAAAGTTTAAAGAAAAATGCTTTTTCAGCAGCTTTTATAACTTTATTTGACTGATTTTTTCTTTTTTTCCAAATTTTCAAGATTTATTTGTAATTCCCTTTTACGCTTTATTCTCATGTCAATCATAGCTTGTGAAGTTTGGCATACAGTTCTATCTAACTTTGAGTAGTGCTTGTTGCATTTTTCTATTACCTTCATCAATAGCAGTTTCTGCAACCTTGATGCCAGCTTTGCATATCCTTGATGTAATAGAATTTAAATAAAATATTTTGTTTAATAAAATTCCTATTAGTTATATTTTATTTAATGACAAAGTTCAAACAATAAAATAAAGAAAATATACTAATTTAATTAAAATAATGGTGAGCAATATACCAATATATATAAAATATATATAAATAACAAAATATATAAAATGTCTGTTTCAATAAGTTCTAGATCTGTTTTTTGCTGTGGAAAAGACTTTGCCTGCAACTCTGTTTGGTTTACCTTTAATGATTCAGCTTTTTCTAACCTAGTTTGCTCAGCCAAATAAACTTTGTATCTTTGATGAGACTCTTTACAACTTTTAATTAAGTTACTTGTTATTGGAAAATTCATAACTCCACCTACTTGATTAAGTTCATCTTTAACTGAAAAAATTGTTGCAATAATTCAAACTATTTATCATAAAATGTTGTAACATTACTAAAGAAAAAAAGATAAAAATATTTTTATTTAAACCATACCTAATCTCAATCCAACAATAGTGTCTTCTTTTAAGTTAGTACTGTGAGCTTCTATAAAGTTCTTATTTATAGAAAATCCTCTTTTGGCTGTACTGTTGCCATGACTAAGAGATAAAACACACTTAACTGGTGCAAGCAACTAAGGGAATTTTAAATTGCCTGCTTCATCACATATAGTTCCCACCTGACTCCAATAATTATCTATTCGTTTGTATTTGGATGGTTTGCTTATACTATTCAGGTAACAAGTACAAAATGCATAAGACCAATATGATGCTTGCTGTTGAGCGACAGATGTAGCAGAAAGTTCTGAATTTAAATAAAAGTGTTCTGGAATAACCTCATTCTGAGAAGATAACCATTGATCTCTTACTTTATCACACAAAGATTCTTTGGTTGAAAAAATATCATTTAGATGAAAAACCGGGCTAGGTCGTTTTTCCAATACTGAAGCAACCTTTAATGCTAAATTTGATATTGCACTTGTTGCACCTGGAGCATTACGCTTTTCTGGATGAAGAAATTGAGCATGCTTTAAAAGCGAAGCATGAAAAGGTAAGTCTTCTTGTAAATATGATGCAGAGACAACATAAAACTCTTTGCACTCAGCCCTAAATTTTTCATTTACTGAACTAGGTATAGCAGCTCCATGCAACAGCAATTTCACCTTTGTTCCTAATTCAATTGAACTTAATTTTCTATGGTTTTCAATTTTACAGAAATCAATCATTTCAGACTGTGACTTTAACTCTCCATTATCATTTTTCAAATTTTTGGGAAGAATAAATTTTTGAAGTAAAGAGTTTAATAGTTTACACATTGCAGGATAAAGCATATGAATCATTGAAAATTCTGTTTGAAATTGTGCTAAAAATGTTTCAAAATCTTGTTCTGAAAAAGCACAAAAGCCTAAATATCCTTGAGTCTGAACATCATTGCGCAGAGCTTCACAAATTCTTTTGTATCTATCTGTTTTAAACAAGGCGTTAAAGTTAATTTGTTTTGAAAATGTTAAAAAATACTCTTTAAGATTCACCCATTGTTCCAAAATCCTTACAGCAACATATTTCATAGAAAGCCATCATGTTTTTACATACTTTTTAGCAAACTAAGCAACCAAATTAGTTACATCAACTAAATTAACATAATCTTTGCACCTGGCACTAGACAACTTAAAAAAAAAAGTGAATATCAATAAAAAGTTCATCTAAATCAAAGGAAAGCTTTTTAATTCCTTTTCTAAAAGCAGTATGGACTTTATGAAGGTTACATGTACCAAGCTCAATAAAAATACTGTCAGACTTTTTCTTTAAAATCCAGTGATAACTTCATTTCAAAGGCCTTGTTAACATTTGGCCCATCCATCCCAACATGTAAAAGATATGCAGAATCCAACTCCAGATCAATTTCAAATTTAAAATAATGGTCTACTAGTTGGTTGTGGTCACAATGAACAATAAAAAGAGAACCACAATATGACGTTACAACCTCTCCTTTTTTTTCTGACCAATACTGAAGATACCCATCATACTGTTTTTTTACTCGCTTAGTTGTTGTCTCACCAAACTTAAAAGTGAATGGTGTTTTATTAATATCAGATTTCAAAATACTTTTAACATAAGGGGCAATCCCAAATTGTATTTGATATTTAATTTTTGATTCGCCTTGCTTATCACCTTTTGCAACAACAAAATCAGGAAACATAGAGCTAAATGTTTTCATTTTTAGTTGACTTGAAACTATAATTACAATTGACAACATATAAAGCTTGCATAATTTCTGCGTGAGAGATCTGATCATCTATATGGACATTCGAACATCCAACATTTGAAAGTGTGACAGATGTATTAAACTGCTTTTGGTTGTTTGATTTTTTACAAGGATCTTTACTAACATGATTTTTGCCCCTATCATGCTTCACAAATTGACTAATGCCACTGGCAGATATACTGAAAGATTTCTTACAATAAATGCAATGCGCTAAACTTAAATTGTTGTTAAAACCTTTGACCCACTTGAATTTACTTTCCAAGATTTTTGGTAAGAGGTCTTGCCCATTTATATATTTTAGTTTTTACTAATTTAGAAAATCTAAATCAACCAAAATTATTCAAACAAAAAGAAGTTTTAAATAAACCAAATAGTACAAATGATTATGATTAATTAATTAATAAAACACAAATAATATTAAAACACTTTTTATTAAAAGACATTTTCTGTATAAAAAATACACAATAGTTACTTTTAAAAATATGTGACCAGAATTTTAAAAACCTAATTTAAAAATTGATTATTTTTATTTTTGCATGCTTAACTAACAAAAATGCATGCATTTACATGCTTTGCATCCCTATGTAAGCAATTGCATGCTTTGCATGCCGAGTGGGAACCCTGCTAATACTAAAAAAAATGCAAATGTTAAAAAAATTATATCTTTAAAGAATTTTTTTATTAATGTAGTTAAAAAGAAATTTTTGATTAAAGCTCCATTAAGCTTTTTTTTATTTATTTCAATTCACCTCCCCAAGCCCATAAAGGCCACTACACTTAAGAAGACTACTTTAGTTGTGGTTACAACCCTCTCTTAACTCTATAACTCCAAAACAAAAACCTTGACAAACAAGGCTGCTGTGCGGAGAAACAAGTTGATTGTGGTACTACCAGGGATGTGGCGGGGATCAAACTCGGAACTTCTTGCTTATGAGGCAACCGCTCTACCACTACACTACTACCACTTAGAGCTTAACGAAGAAATGAAAATACGGCCCTAATTCAGTTGTTATGTTTGGGACTCTGCATTATAAACATTGAATTTTTCAGTTAGTAAACAAAAAACCATATAAAAAAATAAAACATTGAAAAAATACATACTATGAACTCGAACATCTATTTGCCCAAATGAGGAGCCATATTGATTAGTTGCAACACATTTGTACCTTCCAGAATTGATTAATTTCATTTCTTCAATTTTCAACTGAGAATTTCCCTTACTAAACTTAGTCAATGCATTCTCTATTATATCACTATTATTAAATTTCCATGATATGCTAATATTGTCTCCTTTAACAATACAGTTCAACACTAAAGTGTCCTTTCCTCCAATATCTTCAAGTGGGTTTTCTGTAACTTTTTGTATTTCGAGTACACGAGGCAATGCTGAAAAAAAAGAATAATTACAAGTGTGTATTAAATATCACTAACGTACACACAACTTTTGTATAAACAATTTGCAGTCATTCAGGACAGCAGAAAATAATTATAGAGAATTAATTTAATAAACTACTACCTGAAGAAAAACTAACCAGGGATGCGAAGTCCCATAAATTTTGTTTGATTTCACTTTAGATCCTTAGATCAAAAAAGACTCTTTGGATTTTTTTTTTGTTTTTATGGTTTTAAATTAATTATCTTGAGTTTTCATAGATAAAAATATTTAAATAAGAACTTAGTATGTCAAAAAATTCTTACAAATGCATTTTTTTATTACAAAACACATTTTTTATGATATTTCACATATAGTGTTAGTAACATACTATTACTTGAAATCCTCTAACCTTTTGAAAATCTCTTTGCATCATATATTATATATATATATATATATATATATATATATATATATATATATATATATATATATATATATATATATATGCGGTATTCCTGTTATACCGCGTATAACAGGAATACGGCGAATATCAGGACCCCACAGGGTGTTAGCCAGCCTTGTGGAGTCCTGTTATACGCGATATTCCCAAGTGCTCATATAATTGAAATTTTCAATATAAGGTTTAAAAAATCAGATTCTCCAGTTAAAGTTTGCTAAAATCGATTATAGTTTTGAAAATTATTTCAAACTAATAATTTTTAAATATTATTAAAAATAAAAAAAAAAGAAATGGCAACTTATTAACTAAATAAAAATTTTTAAAAAATCACTATTTTTAAGTTCTGTTTTATAAATTTTTTTTTTCTGTTCTGTTTTATAAATTTTATTTAAAACATTGAAGAAAATTATTGCTTTCTGCAAACTTGACTTTAATTTCTAGCTAAAATTAAAATCTATTATAATAAAAATTACTTATGATTTCCTTTGCTAGTAGTTCATGAAATTGGTAACTAACTAAAGTTATGCAATTAATTTTTTACAAAGCCTTCTAATAACATCAAGTAAAAATGTAGCAATGTAAATCTTAGCAAAAATTTCAATCTTAAAAAATAAAAAAATTGTAAAAAAATAATGGTTGGAGGTTGGCTGCAAGAGTAGGTCCAACTATGTTTACAATGCATTTTTGCACCTTGTCTAAAAGAGAAAGGGCATCATTAGAAGATCCACCCCAGATATGTCAACAGTATTCGATACAAGGATAGATTTGAGATTTATAGAGATAGAGAATAGAATCTGGAGTAAGAAAGTAACGAGCACGATAAAGAGATGCAACCTTAGCAGGTGCTAATTTTGCAATGGATTTTATATATAATTTCCAAGAAAGATCGGAAGTAAGAGTTAATCCTAGAAGATGAAGGGTAGATGACTTGTCAAGTACATCACCATTCATAAATATAGGAAGATCTAAATTATTTCAATAACAAGTGGCTGAAAAAAATAGAATTTTATCTGAATTAAAGTTCACCAGTCATTGTGAGCCCTATGTAGTAGCAGAAGAGAGATCCTTTTCAAGCTCAGATGTCCCCTCCAAGCAATCAGAGAGTCTTGGCTTCTTATCAAGACAAGAATAAATAGTAGTATCATCAGTGAACAATGCTACCTTAGATGTGAGAATATCTGGAAGATTGTTAATGTAAATTAAAAAGAGTATAGAGCCAAGGATTGAACCTTAAGGAACCTCTGAAGTTACAGGATATGAAGAAGAGTGCTGTCTATCGAGGACAACTTTTATACTAAAATTAGAAAGGAAGGATTCAATAATCAATAAAGGAAGGATTCAATAATGTTACCAGATACACTATAAAAAGAAAGCTTGTTGAGAAGACCAACGGCCAAACTTTATCAAAAGCTTTAGAAATGTCAAAAGTGAAAGCCTTAACCTCTCTACCTCTACCTAATGTACGATAAAACCTATCAGTTATTACTGTTAGCAAATCAGCTGTAGAATGAGAAGATCAAAATCCATATTGATATAAGAAAGTAAGCTATTAGATTTAAGATGAGAGATTAAGTGTTTGTTAATTAAAGATTCAAAAACCTTGCTTATGATAAGAAGAAGACTAATGGGACGGAAGCTAGACAAGTCAGATCGCTTTCCAGAATTTTTGAAAATAGGAATAACAGATGCCACTTTCCAACATGACAGAAAACGAGACTTCAATAAGCACTTGTTAAATAGTTTTACGAATATAGACAACAGCTCCAGAGAACACTTCTGCAAAACTAAAACAGGTATGTTGTCCATACCTAAGGCTGTAGAAGAGTCTAAGCAGGAAATCACTTTAGCTACAGAAGCTGGAGTAATACAAATGTCAAGCAACGGATCAACTTGCTTGTCGGCAAAATCAGGTAAAACGCAACTAGTGGAATCAAGAGATGATATTGATGAAAAGTTCTTAGCAAACAATTCAGCTTTGCTTCTAAGTGAGGTGACAAAGTCTGACCATACAAGAGAGGTGTAATAACAGATTTTACCTTACTATTGATACTGTTAAAGATTCTCCAAAAGTTATGAGAGCCTAATTTTTTAGATGAAATACAAGATTTCATGACCTGAGAATAGCCGGCTTTGGCGTAAGACAAAACCTATTGTCTTACGCCAAAAACAGATGTCTGTTTTCTGAAGAATTGTTATGCTGATAGATATGGAAGTAATGGATTCAATTGGAAATTACAGCAGCACAGGTAAACCATGAAGAAAAGTGAGGCTTGACTTGGAAATGTCAAGAAGGAATAAAAGACTCCATGCCAGCCGGAATCCAAGAAGCTATGTAAGAAGCACATTTGTCAACAGGAAGAAGAAAGATTTCTAACCAAGGGCCATCATGAAGAAAATCACAGAAAGAGTCCCAGTCAGCTTTAAGGTAGTTGTAACAGGTATAATAATCGGTGGATTCTGATGATGAAGAACAATGAGGTAATAGTTTTAGAGAGATCAAACAGTGATCAGAAGCACCTAAGGGTGAATGTGGAAAAACTGAGCACTGACTGAGATCAGAAACAAGACAAATCGAGTAGAGAAAGTAAATGATTTGAGTTGTCTGGAAAACAGGTTGGAAAGTTGACTATTTGAGTTAGAGATTGAGAACGACAATTGTTGCCCTTAACACCTGCAGAGTCACTGACACTAGAGCCAAGCCATTTAGTGTGATGAGCATTAAAGTCACCAACAACAACAATATTTACTGATGGATAAAGAGAGGGGGCTTGGTCAATTTGATCAGAAATAACATTGAAAAGAATGCAGTCTTATGATGAAGGAGAGCAATATAGAACAAAGAGAAAGGCAATAGAGTAAAGTGGTGCTGAATGAAAGCACATAAAAGAATAGTTGGTGGATTTAACCTAGTTTCCCAACAAATTGGTGAATTCTTACCAATATAAATGCCTAGGCCACGCATGTGACCATTAAAACCTTTATGAATTAAAGGAAGATAACCACCAACACTAAGATCATAAGATGAGACGGACAAACTCAAATTAGTCTCACAAAGAGCAAGTAGGTCTGGTGAACTTTGCAAATGATAAGATTCAACAGAAAAAAAGTTACTTCGAAGACCACGAATATTAGTGAATGATAGGTTAAGAGAACTTGGTGACGACGATAGTTTTTTGTGTTTTATAGTTTTAGGTACTTTAGTCATTTTTAAATTTGTTAAAAAAACTTGACTCAAAGCGTAGATAGTACTCAGTACACTATTTAATAGCCCAAGTAATTCCCTTATTACTAATAATAAACCCTTACCCATAACAAAGGGCTCCAAATGTGGCCTCGACAATGCACATTAAAAGTACGAATAGGGGACACCATCTATGTGCAATATAGCACTGTTAATACATTGATATTATACAGTTGTTGATGGAATCAGCCTCTCTGAGAGTTCAGAAAACCTGACTCCCAGCCGGCCTCAGAACCATAAAACTAAGTTTTAGAGCTGTGGCCTCATCAAGAGATAATAGAATGAGTTGTCTAGTCATAAAAACAAAGACACAAGCAAAACCCGTGCATTGAGTCAAGAAGATCCAGCATTTGAGATCCTAAACTGAAAACAATGTATTATAAATACATCTGGGCTAGCCATATTCAATCTAAAAGCCTAACTCAATCTAAAAATATTTACATTGATCATTTTTAATATGGTTTCTTGAATTATAACTATTAATTAATATTACTAAATATAAACAAAGTATACAAATTATTAAAAATACACAAAATATTATTTTTAAAAAAGGTTTTCTGCAAATAAATTGCTTTTTTAAAAAAGCTTTTTTAAAAATTTCTAAAGAATTTATAATAGACTGTAAGTTTAAAAAAGAAAGTACTAAATCAAAATAAGATATCCAAATTTAAAATTTTTAAACCAATGTCATCCTGATGATATTTATTTAAAATAAGTTACAAACAGATGTAAACATATACTTAATGTATTTTTAAAATAAAAGTATTAAAGCAGTATTTTTTTAGAGTAAATACAATTTTATAGAGTAAATACAATTTTTAACTGTTTGTAAATTTTCAACAGTATTAAAAAGCACAAACTTTTTTTTTAACACCAAACTAAAATTAGGGTAAAACCTAATCAATGGTGAAACAAAAAATTTTCTAAACATCAAAATAAAAAAAAAGTTTATATAATTTTAAACTTGTTTTCTAATGTTTACTTTTGAAACAGACATAATTTGTCTTGACAATATATCATTAAAAAACAAAGTTTAGTGTCCGTAGCACTCTAAAGTTATTCATGGATATCATATTCATCTTTAACCTGATGCTTAAATGTTTATTATATGCTAGAGAGAACTTTTTTTTTAATTTTATATTTTTTTATAACTCCCAATTTCATAAAAAAGCTGCATAAAATTTATTCCTGGCTAACACCCTAAATATATATTCATATCAGCCCTAGGAATTAGAAAAAATTAGGTCAGCAAAAATTTGCAGACCTAAAACTGTTTTAGGTTGGCTTCAGATAGACACAAAATCTAGAAACAGAGCTTGAAAAGCCAACAAACACTGGAAATTAGGCATCAAATTGACAGAAAAATAAAACATCAAATGTCAACGTTTGCTTAAAAACTCGGAAAAATGAATAACTTTATTATTAGGAATTTAAATAAAACATTAAATTTCCTGATTTTACTATAATTACTTTATATAGAATTAAAAAAACTTTTGTGTTCTGGTTTTTATTTTTAACTGTTTTGTTTACTATTTAAATAAATGGTTCAAATTTAAAATTTAATTACAAAGTTCATTTTTTGCCTTTTTTACTTTAATTATTTTATTAACGATGTAGAAAAAACATTAGCTTTTCTGTTATTTTTCATAAAAATTTATTTAAAAGTTAATTAAAACGCAAATGTTTTTGTTTTTAATTATTTTATTTAGAATTTGAATAAAATGTTCTTTATTTTGATTGCTTTGTTTACTATTTAAAGAAAAGGTTCATATTTGTAGCTTAACTAAAATGATTAATTTGTCGTTTTTATTATAACTAATTTAATTAGAATTTAAATGAAACTTTGTTTGCCTGATTTTTTTTTTAATTATTTTATTTTGAATTTAAATAAAAAGCTCACTTTGTTGTTGAATAAATGTATTTGAAACTATTTGTTTCTTATTAATCAAATATCTTATAAAGTTCTTTTTACGTAATTTATTTACGAACATAAAATATGTTTACAAAATATTGATAAAAGTTATCTTTAAAGTATAATTTTTATTTAAAGTATTACATTATATCAAGCCTTCCCAGGAAATGCGTACGGTTTTTCGTCTTGTATGTCCACATATGAGTATTTTATTTTAGTCATTTTGATCACAACCGTTTGCAAGTTTTTTTTTATTAGCTGTTGCGTAAAAAACTAAGTTTCAAAAATAAAGAAATCAAAAGTAACAAAATAGGAAATTAATACAAACTTAAATAGAAAAAAATAAACATATAAAATAAATATAAAAAATAATTTAAATAATTTGTGCACAACATTTTGTTATTTTCAGCAACAAAATTTGATAAGATAAAGCAAAAAAAAAAAAACTTTTAAGTTGACATTAAAAAGAATGATTTTCCTATATTTTATTTGTTTCTCATTTTAAGAGGAAAGCAAAAATATAAATTAATTTATATTAGTCTTTCTCTTTGTTCTTTAACATTCTCCTTTTTCCAAGACCGCACTATTTTAGATGAAATTTTTTATCGAATTCTTTTTACCCCTCTGCCAATATTGTTAATGGTGACTTTAATGCTCATCACACTGAATGGCTAGGTTCTAATGCTTCTGACCCTGCTAATACTAAAGCCTATAACTTCTGCATTTCTCAATCTTTAACTCAGAAAGTTAACTTTGTGACTCACTTTCCTAACAACCCTAATCACTTACCTTCACTTCTTAATTTATGTCTTGTCTCTGACCCTAGCTTGTGTTCAGTTTCTCCCTTTTCTTTCTAAGGTGGTTTCGACCATGCAATGGTCTCTATAAATCTATAAATTCTAATTCAAATCTTAAATCTTATGGACATTCTCTTTCTTATATTCCAATATATAACAAGCAGGTTAACCCATTTTTAGACACCATTCCAAATCATTACAAATCAATCCAGTTTCCATTGCTTAAGTCATATATCAATTAAACTCTTCTACAGCTTGCAGTCCAGACAATATTCCTGTCACAGTCTTACAAAGTTCTCCAGAACTCTCTTTAATTCTCTCTAAACTATTTGATAAGTGTTTGAATAAGTATTGTTTTCCTGCTTGCTGGAAAATGACATCTGTTGTCCCAGTTTTCAAAAACTCCGGATAACATTCTGACCCCTCAATTATTGTCCGAACAGTCTTCTTTCTGTTATTAGCAAGGTCTTTGATCAATGAGTCTTTGATCAACAAATTTATCACACACCCAGTCTTCTCCATTTGAAATTTACTGCCAGCGCATGAAAAAGCGCTGGCCAGACATTAATTATTTGCATGGTGGGCGCAATTTAAAAAATAATTTTGTTTATGCGAGACAAAGATTGCAAAAAGTGACCAACAGAGCCGTCCAGTTATGTAGACCTGGGAGATGTGAAAAGAAAAACAGATTGTAGATGGTGCCATTGAATAAAAAATAAAAATCATAAGAAAAAATAAAAAAGTGGCAAGACTTTCGTAAAGTAGAAGAGCAAAGAATGGATGCTAAAGGGGCATGGGGAGAAACAACTACACTATTTTTTATTTTAAAAAATCAAAAAAGATTTTTACAAAAATAATAATAAAGTAAAGCAAGGATTTGAACCAAGGCATTTCACTTCAGAATGTTGGGAATCAATCACTTTGGTCACTAAGGCAGTTCAAATAAAGTTTTAGAACTATTTAATAAACAAAAGACTTTATAAAAAAGTAAATAATTGTTATAAATCAAAATTAAGGAAATGTTACCACAATTCAATTGTAAAGTAAAATTAAAACTGTTAAACTTAATATATGTTTTAGTCTTACATAATTTGAAGTTTACATTGTCTTCTCCGTTTGGCTATTGCTTTCGCACTCTAGCCATTTTGCACTCACCCACACGCCCGCTGAAATTTCGACCAGCGCATAAAAAAGTGCTTGCTGAAAAAAAAAAAAAAAAATTTTAATTGTAACTCATCTTTTTTGTTAATCAAAAACCTTTACCAAAATTCGTAAAAATTCTTTGAATTATATGAATTATACTTAGAACTAAAAAAAAAAAACATTCATCTTGCCGCTCTTAAAGTAATTATTTTATTTAAAAATATTTTTTTGCGGTTTTTATTTTAATTACTTTCTCTCCATTTAAATTAAACAGTCCTTTTTGCCGGGTTTTTATAGATTTCATTTAGAATTAGCATTTTTTATGTTTTTATTTTAATTACTTCGATCTGTATTTGAATGAGACATTTTTTTTTTCAAGTTATTTTATTTAGATTTTAAATAAAATGTTTGTCTTTCTGTTTTTATTTTAATTACTTTGTTTAATATTTATATAAAACATTTTTTAATTGTTATTTTTATGCCGTTTTTATTTTAATTATTGATGAACTTTTTGAGCACGCCAACCTTAAATTGTTTATTTGACTAGTGCTATCTTGTGCGCTGGCATTAAATTTTAAACAGAGAAGACTGTTTACATAAGTTAAATACTTTCATACACTTTCATTCACATTTTTATTCATACATTTTCATTCACAAAAAGTGCTGTGACTCTTTTTTGACATTAACTTGAGCATAATGGCTGCCACAACTTCTCTGTTAAATACTAACAAATGAGTAATGGCAGCAGCAACAGCATTAAATTCAGTATTAAAATATTATAGGATCATAAGTGACAATTTCTGAGTCTATTTTTACTTGCCCTATTTCATAAGCATTTAATAGTTTGTTATCCATGGACAGAACTTTTTGGGCTTGTAGATGATACAAAAAAAGCACCGCAGGATCTACTTTAAATGGTCCTGAAAGGTATACTTTGTTATTGATATTATAGAAAAACTTAATTCATACAAGTATTAATAAATTTTTATTAATTAATAAAGTATTAATTAATAAATATACATTAAGATAAGTTTTAATATCAATACAAATTGTTCTCTAAAACTTTAAAAATTTGAAAGGCATAAAAAGATTTATTGCTAGAAAAACTTAAAAAATAAAGCACTAAGCTAGTATTAATTAGGAGTATAAATTATTAAGCAATAGAAATATAGCATACTATTAAAAAAACACATATTTAAAATAATAAGAAATATATTTTATATACATATTATATTATAACATTTTTAGAAATTTATTAATATCATGAAATTGGCAAATATATAGGACAGACACAGTGAAAAGATGTGACTTTGCTAAATGACAAGTCAAGGGAGAATGAGTTTCGGTTGATAGAACTAGAGATGATAGCTCCTTTGAGCAGTGACTATGATACTATTTGTAGAAAACAAAAAAAGATGCAACTTTACAACGATGGGACAGAGGCTCAAGCTTGGCAGATAAAGCAGGTCTAACTATGTTTACATGGCATTTTTAGACCTTGTCCTTTTGAACCAGCTCAAATATGACAACAGTACTCCATGCAAGCAATAGTATTATCATATTTGGTCAGCATTAAACAACAAACCAAGAAGACATAAAAATTTATTATTAAAAATTTAAAAAAGACATAAAGAACTTAGTGAGACACAAGACACAAGACAAGCTTTA